CAGTCTCGTACCAGTTCTCTGCTGCTGCACTTGTACTCAGTGTGACTTGCCGTTTCGGCATTGGGAATCCAAGACTTCGACTTTGTGCCTTGCCACTGTGTCTGCGTCCAACCCTCAGTCCGAGTCCGTCGTGTCGAGTGAGTGAGTGTGTGTGTGTGCTCTCACTCTCTCCCTCTCTCTCTCCTCTCCCTCGGCTTACCCTCAGCCTCACGCTCGTTACAATTTCTGGAGCAAAAAGTACTAAAAAGTTAAAAACGAAATTTTACTGAGAAGATTTGCGATCGATTAGAAAAAGGAGAGAAAATATTCGATTGTAGGAAGTACAGCGCTCGTAGCGATCTGACGGCAATCAATCAAGTAGTCAATGACTAACAAATCAGCGAGTGAAGAAATATCTACAGAAATCGACATTATCTGCAGATGACTCATTAACGACTTAATCAGTGAGTGAAGAAATTTCGACAGAAATCGATGATCAGGCAAGTAAGCGACTAATTAATGACTTAATCAGACCAGTCATCGGCAGATGACTCATTCATAAACAATCAATCATCTGCTAGGTAATCAGCCAATCAATCAATCAATGGAATTGATTGGTCGGCTGATTCAGCGTCCCCCCCCTTCAATCGATCTCCTTCTGGTCTATCGCAGGTTAGATTGTGTCAGCCCTAATTCACTAAGCTGCACTCCAATACCAACTTATGCATACTTGAACGAGCAATGCAGTGAAGCCGAAGGATCAGCAAAGTGATCACAAGGACTCGAACAAACAGTGCAACATGAAGATAGCAATGTGTGTCCATACAAGCACGAATTGACATTCAGCGCACATCAAGAAAGCAACGTGTTTTGATATAATCACGAAACAAGACAATGAAGCACATCGGAAGACTCAGAGATACGACCTGACACATCGAACTCTGATCCAACTCGACCCGACGTCATCGCACATGTACGAGAGAGAGGAGCGCCTGAACACACTGAAGAAAGATCTCCACTCGCACGCAAGCATGGGGAGAATACCATGGACAAAGTGGGAGGAGGAGCATGACGAAGATGGAGGCGAGGGAGAAGACAAGAGTCGTCAACAACGCTGTCCATGAATAGTCTCCCTGTCGAGTGTCCAATCAAAGTCTGCCCCTGAAATGTCGAATCAGAACCAGGGCGCTATGGCCCAAAATGGCATCTGCCTGTAACCTACCTCTCTCTCTCTCTCTCTCTCTCTCTCTCTCTCTCTCTCTCTCTCTCTCCCTCCCTCCCTGAAGGAAGAAGAAGAAGAACACGAAGAAGAACACGAAGAAGAAGACGAGGACGACGACGAAGAAGAAGAAGAACACGAAGAAGAACACGAAGAAGACGACGAAGAAGACGACGACGACGACGACGACGAAGAAGAAGAAGAAGAAGAAGAAGAAGAAGAAGAAGAAGAAGAAGAAGCAAGCGCCTCTCTCTCTCCCCCTCACCTGACGAGGTGTAACAGCCACGTACTGACCATGGAGACGGTGTCTCGCTGATGAAGGTGAGTACTTCCGGCCCTAGTGGCTATGGACGGCACCCCTCAACTCTCCTCTCCTCTCCATTCTATGTCCTACTCTCTACCTCTACCTCCAATGCAGCTCTTGCTGGGCAACCCACTGTCTTCCATCAGGAACGCTGGATCTAGTATCCGATCGGCAGTCCTGATTGCAGGCCTAAGTCCTGGACCAGCAACCTGGCCTAAAAACGGCCTGTGTGGGTCCTTTTTGGACGTCCAGGAAACCCTGATGATGCAGCAGAATCCTCCTCACTATGGACGAACCCAAACCTGTCTCCAGGGCCAAAACGTGGTCCTCAGGTCTGAACAGGCACAGGTCTGACGAAAGTCCAAACGACACAACTCGAACAGACAAAAATTGACTGGAGAAATGTGGGCCAGACCAAAGACTCAGGAAAAATAAATGAATAATGCTGAAAAAGAAAGTAAATGTGGACCTAGGCCCAAAACGTGGCTGTGGCCCACCCAATCGCCCAGCCAAAGGGCCTGTGCGGCCTGGGGAGCAAAAAGGAAAATACCGGGTCTGAATGGCCTGTGTAGGAGCCTCTAGTACGCTACAAAGAGTGTGTGTGTGTGTGTGTGTGTGTGTGTGTGTGTGTGTGAGAGAGAGAGAGAGAGAGAGACTTATGGACCACTAGATCTGTAGATGGATACTTATGGACCACTAGATCTGTAGATGGATACTTATGGACCACTAGATTTGTAGATGGATACTTGTGTAGACCCCAAATATCTCATTGATATTTCCATGTGTGCGGGCGTAGCCGCCCTGGCTTTGCTTGTTTTGTTTAATAGGTGTGCAAGTATCCCGGCCATTAGGTTAGTGCTGCCAAAAGTGAATACAGGCAACTCAACAGGGTGCAATTAATAGTGTGGTAAATTTAAGGGTACATGTTCAGGTGCAGCTCAATTGGTACACAAGCGCTTCCATCTCCTCTGTTTACGAGTAAGTGAAGCTGCTAACAGGCCCACACTTCCAAAACATATCCTGAATGAGTTGCAATTGGTTTCATGATCGCTTTTGTTGGATCTATTTGTTTCCTGTGAAAAATCCTCTAATTGGTTGTTTTGCTTTGCCCGTTTCATGGGAATGACGTTTTTTGCAGACAGCAATGCGAATACTCGAAAGCTACGTATTGTTGGGCGGGGCTGAGTTTCTACAGCAGCATGCACAGACAGTTGTGAGAATACTGGACAGTGTTGTTGGGAATGTCAAGGAGAAAGGAATGGTGGTGACATTGCCTCTGATTGATCTGATGATTCAGGTAAAAGCAAAACAAAGGACCATAGGGCCAGAGGGTGGTGGTTCGGAGGAGCCAAGGTGGGAAAGAATGGCAATGCGAATGTTTCTTAAGGTATCCAGTGGTTGATCCACACCAGCTTGTTCTGCATAACATACCATAATTTTTTCTCCCAGTCAACCCAGGGTAGACAATGACCTCTAGAACACAGCTTTTTAATCAGACATGCAATCGATGCGAACTGGTTTTTGGTGCCGCTCTCTCGAACCACTTGGTGATCCCAGAGACTCAAAGTTTTTCTGAGGGGGGTGTTGGGGACTTGCGTTGTTGATGCGTTTGAAGTTGCAATGTTTTGGCTTGGGAATCTGGTATGAAAGCTTTCCGGCAAGGGACAGCGGGAAGGCAGGGGTGTTGGAGGGTGGAGAGAATGATGCGCAGGCCTTGCATTGCATGTATCGTCGAGGAATTTGATTGAAAGCTTTCTGGCAAAGAAAATGGGGAAGGAAGGGGTGGAGAGGGCTGAGAGAGAGGGCATGCATGGGAGTACAGCTTATCACGAAGTTGCATTTAGGGAATGGGAGAGCCCCCACCTGATCATCGGAGGTCGTTGTTTGTGCACACTTGTCTTAGTCATGCTCATATTTGATACCCTTGTATTTTTCTTCGGTCTTGAAGAGTCATGGCACCTGTTTGGCATCTTCATTAGTTGGGGAATGATTGATAGCACATCTGTTCACAGTGTCTGTCTGGAAGTGCGCTATTATTCAACATTTATTCATGCATGGCTCTGCAGCAGATCTAATAGAGCTCTTGTTCACTTGCTGGAAAGGGCATGTTTCTTTACTGTGGAAAATGATTGGACAAATGCGGGTGCTGCCTCCAGTAAGCAGTTTCAGAGTATGAGCGCCCATTTTGTATCCTGGCCTTGAGTGTGAGATGGACTAAGTGTGTGGCATTCTCACACTAAGAGTTTCCTGGATGCTTCCTCCTTTACAAGATCAGGTGATTCAGCATCATGGAAGAATGTTGCCATTCGTTTCAAAGACTCTTTGTCTTGGCAAGTTTGTAGTCTGCACTTACTTTGGGCCTTTTGTGTGTTCCTGTCCTGTATGATTTCCTTTCTATGGTGTTTTCCAGTGCTTCCCGGCAGAGTCACCACCCTTGCTGGAACCTGTGCTGAAGGTGAGAATTGGCTTCATTGTTTTGTTCTCTCTCTGCATTAGGCATATGCCATGCTACCTGTGACAAATGCAATTCCACTGATGAACTCCCCTGGAAAAACTCCCTGGAAACTGAAAAGACACAGCTAGGGATAGTAGGATGCGCAGTTAGGGTAAGATCTACCGTATGCTGGGCTTGTGGATTCAGCACGTCCCACTCTGTAGCGAAGAAGATGGACTAGAACTGATAGCATACCTTATTAGGTTGCCAGCTCGCACCTTCACTCTCCTGAGATCTCCTTGGAGCTGACTCTCAGATTGCATATGGAACACCTCCAATTGGAAGATGGCAGCACCCAAACCCAACAACACAGTCCTGTGGAAGCTCTCATGCAGAGCTGCGAAATAGCAGCAGTGCGATCTTCAACTTTGTTTCCCAACCCCAGCTATGGCTGGGCTTCGAGGAAGAAGATGACCTCACCCAAAATAGAGCAGCAGGGCTCCAACAATGGATGGGCAGAGTTTCCCAAGCCAACAAAAACGTGAAAAGACACAAACCAAATTTGCTGCCCGCTACTTCTACCCTCTGCCTAGACCTACGGCGGACTCCTAAGGCAACGACCCAATACGCATCTGCATCTAGATGGAAACGGGGGGAAATGACAAGGCAAAAGGAAAAGGCCGAATAGCGTAAGGCTTCCAAACAGAGACTAATAGTGACAGACTCAGGGAGCAAGTCCTATAGGATGCAGATGTTTCCTGCACCTGAATTGACGTGCGGTCTAACGTCTCTTGACATCTTCTTTTCCATATCATCCACAACGTTGCCAGACGTAGAATGTGAAAGAAAATGGTCTCGTGTCCCTGCCAATTGGGTGGGATGTGCAGGCCCAGTAGGAGAGTAAGAGGGTCTGTAGGGAGGGTTTTGTTTGTGATTATATGCCATAGATCGTTTGTGTTGGACCAGAGTTGCTCTGCTTTTGGGCACTGTATTAGGCAATGGCCCACGTCTTCTACGCGACCTTCCGGGCAGATTGCACATAGCTCTTGTAACGGGGTTCTGGCTTGAAAGTTTCTCCTCTTGTTCAACCATTGGTTAACTGGGAGAGCCAGGTGGGCGAGTAGCCACTGGAAACTTCTAATTTTGACTTGGTTGATGTTTAGAAACCCAGTCCAGGGGATGTTCGGGATACGATTTTGGGTAAAGATCAAAATGTGCCTCCCATCTTTGGCCTACGATTTGGGTTATGGGCTGCGACCTTGTCCTTAGTGCGTAGCCTAGTTTGGTTGTGTATGCCAAGATGTTGGTGCACTTTTCTATGCTGAGCCTCTCTGATTTCCTTTTCCACGCCCTTTCCACCGGGTCAATCTCCAAGTCCTCGATATTGGTTTGTGAATTGTAGATTCGGCGGTCCTGCATTTCTATTACCCTCACCTTCCTTAATGTTCATTCATGCCAGGCCACTTCCCCTGTGGAGTTTTTGCTTAGTAGGCTTGTTGATGCGCCTGGGTCCTCGATTGTGTAAATATCGCATATGAGCCACTCGTTTCCTATGCCTTCCCTGGTTCGGAACTGATATGCTGTCTTCGGTGGGCTCTCGGCATTCTCCGTATTCCAGTCTCCTGCCTTCCACAAGTATCAGCTTCTGAGAAGTCTTAACCAGCTTTCAGGAATTGAAATTAAAATATGGTTGAGATTCTCTTGCAGGTTGTGGCAACCTTTTAGCTGTTCCCTTAGTTCTCCCACTATCTTCCATCTCGATTCCTCGTTGTGCCATAGGTGTTTGATCTGCCATACCCCTTTTCTACCCACAATCCCCATCTTGAGTCTTTGGCTGTTAGGGTCCAAGGTTTCCCTTGTGTGTCCAAAATCCGCTGGTTGTAGAGGAGTGGTTGTCTGAGCACTTCTTCCTTGGCTGTGGGTTCCCTTACTTTCGCTGGTAATCTCTCTCTCCATGTTTTCAGTAGGTTTCGCTAAAAGTCGTTATCGTCTGCTTCCTCTTCTTCCAGTTTTGTTGTTCTGATGGTGCCCCTCATTGCCCATGATTTAGCCATGATCCAAAACAAACCTAGTTTTTGTATCCTCCGTAAGGCTAGGTGGGTCCATGGTAAGTTATCGTACATGATCAGTTTAAGGATCCATTTGCATTGTAGTGCCTTGATCTGTGTTTCAGGATCAAGGATCCCTAAGCCTCCCTTAGATTTTTGGTTGACGACATACTTCCAGGCCACCTTCGATATGAATTGTTCCTTGGACGGGTTTCCTGACCAGAGTTAGGCCGCTGCTCTTCTCTTGAGTTGGTATCTAAGCTGTTTCGGGGGGGGCCCAAATCGTTGCTGCATACCAGAGCAGTGAGAAGATTGAGGCGTTAAGGATTATGGCTCTATCGAAGATAGACGTGTACACGTTCGTCCAGCTCCCCATTTTTGTCAGCATCCTATTCATTATTACTGGTGCCATTGCTCAATGAGGGCCGTATTTAGACATCTGGATGCCTAGGAATCTGAGGGGTTCGCTACCCCGGTTCCAGGTCATTCCTTCCGGGGTTCTTTGAGGTGTGTTCAGCTGTGGATCTGTTAGCCACCAACCTGTTGTTTTGGCCCAATTAATTTTCATTTCTGATGCTAGCTGGAATGCTTGCATCGCTCTTGTGAGTGCTTCAAAGGAGGAATATGAGGCTCGTATAAGTTCCGTTTGGTCGTCTGCGAAAAGGATTGTAGTGGGCAGGTTAGGGGCGTGTGTTCTGTCATCTATCAGCCTTTCTGTCGACAGGTCCTCTCTCAAGAAGGATGCAATAGCTTCCATGATAAAACAGGAAAATAGTGGCGGCTAGGGGTCTCCCTGTCTCACGGAGCAAGTCATGCGATAGGGTTGAGAGATATTCCTATTAACTTGTACTCGCCCTAAAGCGTCAGAGTAGAGTATCAGGACCCATCTTCTGAAATTTGGTCCTATCCCCATTTTTTTCCATGCTTTGTTGGAGGAAATTCCAGTTAACTTGGTTATAAGCTTTTTCGAAGTCAAAAAAGAGGATTGCTGCATTCATTCTTTTGTCCTGTATGTATCTTACGGATTCTGAGAGAGTCATTACGTTGTCTAGGATGAATCTTCCTGGTATGAATCCTGTTTGGTCTAGATGAAAACAATTCCTTGTTATGGATTTGATTCTATTTGCTAGAAGTTTTGCCAGGATTTTGTATGTGACCGTAAGGAGCGAGATAGGCCTGTAATTCATGATGTTTGACGGGTCTCCCTTCTTGTATAAGAGGGAGACTACGTCGGTACTTTTGCTTTCCACCTAACGTCCCTCTTACCCAGGCCTTTTCTAAATATTGGAAATATTCATTGCCTAGGACTGGCCAATACGCTACCCTAAATTCTTTGGACAATCTGTCTATTCCTGTTTTTTTTTTCACTTCATGGATTTCAGTGCTTCAAAGACTTCTTGTTCGCTAATGGGGGCATCGAGTGATTCCGCCTGCTCCATTGATATTGTCCTATCAAGATGTGAGAGGAATTTCGCTCTGGCTTGGGATGTTTCCTGTTGTGGTTGGTTCTGTTCTTTAGAAGTGTACAACTTTTGGAAGAAAGCCGCAGCTGTCGATAGCATTAACTGAGGGTCCGAAGTTGGGCCTTGGTCCGTTCGGAGTTTTTCTATAATAGTCTTTCTCGCGTATGTTTTGATCTTATTGAAGAAAAACTTCGTCATCTTTTCTCTCTCCTCCCACTCCTTTATTCTGGCTCACATCCTCAGACCCTTGTTCTTCCAATCTTCCCAATCTGGGAGCTCCTGTCTAGCTTGTTCTAGGACTGTTTCATATAGGCTGCATCCTGGTGCGTTTTGTAGATCCTTTCTGCCACTCTTACTGCTTGGCAGAGTTCTTTTGTCCTTGCCTTCCTTTTTTATCCTAGTACTTGAGACGCCCTAGCGATCCTAGTTTTAGTCGTAGCATGATTGGTTTGTGATCTAGCCCCGAGTAGTGGGGTAGGTCTCCTATCCCTATGCTATGAATAGTGCCTATGAGAGTATTGGAGATTAGGAAATAATTAATGACGAAATGTGTTGGCTTCGGTTCCTTTTGACGTAGGTGAACTTCTTACTGTCTGGGTACAGGATCCTAAACGGGTCAATTTTTGGTCATCAGGTCGTGGATAGGCACTGCCTCGTTCCATTGGGTCAGTCCCAATCCTTGCATACTTCTTGAAATGCGGTCCTTTGTTGGGTCTAAAGTCGCATCCCAGTCTCCTGCTAGGATAAGCTGTGTCGTATGGTCGCATTTTGGTAGTATGTTTTCAATTAGTCGTGTTCGTTGGGTTAGGGTGTTCTGACAGTATACCGTGATCAGTTTAAATCTCTCTTCATAGATGTGGAAGTCAAGACTTGCCCATCTGCCGTCTTCTGTGTCTATGTTCTCCACCGTTTTGGCGATCTTAGTTGCCGCCCTGAAGTTTGCATGGGTTAGGATGGCTACTCCGGCCGAATTGGAACGTGGTGCCGGTGCCCAGATCGTTTCCTTTTCCCATTTTAGTCTTTCTAGTATTTGGGTCTGTGCTCTTTGGTGTTCATCCGATGTGGTCAGGTGTGTTTCTTGGAGGCACGGTATGTGTTACATGCTGAAAGCCGACACACGGGCCCCTCACGGGACCCGAGGTTGGAATAGGGCCCCCAGGTCGCGTCACCGCAACCTGAAGTCCCTATGGCATTTTTACTTGGGCCTGCATCAGAAAAACGCCATCTTTAGATTATTTTTATATTCTTTTATTTATTTATTTATTTGCTGCTGTTTTTCTAATGGTTGTACTGTTGTCCGTTTTGTGGCCAGGTACACGCTTCTAGGGCCAGGGCCAGATTCAGGCCCAGAGGCTGAGCTCCTAAAAACGKTYGGACCTTTYCTTTTGTTTTCGAACAGATTGCTACCTGTTCGGACCCAGGSCGACGTTGAGGCCGGATACGTCCGCACAGGACCGGTTCGAAGCCAGGTACCAGGAAACTGAATCCTGGACAGGGCCTGGACGTCCGG